AAGACCTGACTATACTGCAAGTACTCTTACGATTTGATGTACCTACACTCCCGTTCGACTTTTCGAGGCCCTTTCCAGAAATGATCGTTCTATATTTAGACAAAGGAAATCCATCGTAATCCGGCCTCGCCTTATTTATCCGCTCGAAGAAGCTGTCTGAGAACCACGTCAGCAAATGGCTCTCTTGTTATGATGTGCTATAATCTCAAAATTCAAACTGACGATCAATGTCAAACGTTTAAATGAAGAATTCTGCAGAACAAAGCTGTGGACAGTTCCCTGAAGCCAAACAAAATCACACCGTATCCTGTTCGATCGGCTTTTTGCCTGATATGGGAATATCAAATCATTTGTTTTTTTCAAATCCGAGATTTCTATCAAGACTTTCATAATTTTTGTAACATTCTTGTCAACAGACCACATAACAGTCTCATCAGATGTATTTTGGATTACTCAAACATATACACATATCAAGATGCAGACTTAGCTGGTTATACGTAGAGGATTAGTGAGAGTACTACATATTAAGTCGTGAAGTATATCCTGAGACCATTGTCTCCTTTTGTCTCACAGGCTTTTTGTACCCGATTGATCGTCAAATACGATTTTTTCTATCGAAGCTTTCCATTGAACGGATCAATTTAATATTTCACTGTATCACTGTATAGGAGTTAGCAAATTTATCAATCCATTACATGAGCTGTTGCTCCGAAATACAGAAAAATTTCTATATGAGCTGTTGCTTCGAATTACAGGACAGCACGATCGCCCTCTCGCTTTCCGCGGCACGGATCGCAGTTTCATCGCACATCTCCTTGAGTTCTACCTCTGTGACACAGAGGTCGTGATGAAAAAGTCTTCTCAATTTCGTTTTTCATCTTACCACCTTCTACTGACATTGTACTCCCTAGATCGGATCGCTATCTTCACTTTGCCTTATCTTCCTTATTTGAGAGAATCAAGGCTTCAATGGCAATTAGTCAGCAAAGTTCGTGAGCGCTGCCTTCTTGTTCTGCCCGAAATCAAACCAATCTTCTTTATTCTTCGAGGGAAATGAAGCGGATCGGAGATAATGTGCGGTAAATGAAGAATTGTTAGTTGATCTTCGACTTGAGTTGGCGAATGTGCATTTCTCACGGAGGCCACAATGGTGAAAAGCCATTCTTTGAGTTCAAACAACTGTTCCCTGTCTAATAATGGATATCTCCTGATAGGACAACTCGAGGTTTGTTGGAAAACAAGTAGCCGTTTAGTGACTGGCTGAACAGAGCTTTTTTACATCGTTCTGCAAAAATGAAGCTGCTCGTACTCGTCCTTACGACCTCCACTGCTTAGAAATCGCAGCAGATGCATCTTTGCTGTAAAGGGTGATTATCTCTACATAACACCACTAACGACAGGGTTTATCAGGCTTTTGGAGATAACGATTGCTTTATAATTCGAGAAGAGTACTTAAATTTTCAATGTGCATCCATCTAATTGTTCTTTCGACATCTTCAAGGTATAATTGTAAGGCGCCGAAGCGAACGTTGTTATTTTACCTGGCTGGGGTGCGAACTCGTATCAGGATAACAGGAGATACCCAGGGTGCGATGGAAAGGAAAGGGAAAGCCAGGCTAAAACTGGAGGCGCGTCGCAATATGCCTTGACCCTACTCCCCTCTTTTCTAACGAAATGGCCTAAATTCAAAGATAAGTACACTATTTAACCCTGTAGAAGCTCTTATTGCTCCAATACCTTGGGGAAACAGTTGAGAAGCTTTTAGTTCTGCGCTCTTACACTGGTTCATGCCTAATCCCGATTCACTCCAATTTAAGATCTGGATACATCTATCCTGTGTATCATCCATCATCCCTATTCTGTCGTCCCCCCGATCATCCACTTGCTCGAGCGGGCACCATAACGAGTCTGCTTATCCCTGTCGAGCAGATGTAGTTCAACGACTCCTTCTTGTTTAAGCATTACAATCAATCAAATTCTTTCATTCAAAGTTCTCACCGTGGAAGATACGCTAATCATAATATTATAATATTTGTTCCAGAGGTTTAGATGAGCACATGTTTCGATCCCAGATACCGTAATGTTCTGACTTCTCCAACGGAATTGATTTAAGCTGTGCCGTTTCACAGGAAAGTTTTCAGGAATTCCCAGAAAATGAGTCCCGAAACAAGTATGACGCAAGCAGATTTCTCGTGGACTGAAAGCAATGATAATTGGCCTCGTTCATATAAATACACTATTTCTGTGCATTTGCTTCTCACCAAGCTTGAAACCGTTCTGATTGGAAACGTGAATGCAGGCAGCTCTTCAAAATCAGCAAATGGTTCTATAAAAAGGCGGTCGGGGGTACGACGGAACTCTTGTCTAATGAGCCATTTAAAGGCACTGTTAACGAATAAATGGTTTCGAAGATATGCACATGGTTAGAATTCTAAGCCCCCTCTGATAACATTTGTGCAGGAATTAGGTCGGAAAACGGCTGGATAGGGCCCAATAAGGCCAGGAACAGTGGGGGACGGGAGGCCTCCGCTCCTCGTTAGGCTGACTACGTGTTCAAGTTGTCCTTCACCACATTCGCACTGGAGCGAAGTTGGTAAAAAATCGATACGCTGATTGGCAAATTGCCAGGAATCATCAGCTGGTCGACCGCCTCGTACAGGAGCTAGTATTCGACTGTTATTTCTATTTTATGTTTGTTATTTCTATTGTTTTTTTAATAAGAATTTTTCACAGTAGCTTTCTTCAACTATTCTCGTAAGTTTATTTAAGATTTTAACATATTTTGGGTAGATTATTGCATGCAAATGTTCCTTTATTTTAGAAACTCCGTTAATTTCAATGTGTTGTCTGTATTGCAGACATTGCGCCGCCTTCGTGCATTNTCGCTCGAACACTCCCTAACCGCAGTTTTTTCAATGTGAAATTCGTCCACCCTCTCTTTCCAGCTCTTTTTTGTTCCTTTGTAATTCTTTTTGTTCCTCATTTTTTTGCGCTTTTTCGTTGTTATCGCTCTATTCTAGAGTAGTTCTATCTATTCCCGTCAAAAAAAGGGTACCCTTACTTTTTTGTTAACAGTGCCTTTAATTCTTCAGAGACCACATCACGTCTTTGGATAAACCGTTCAGTTTCTTAGTTATGCAGGAAAAAGAATTATATTCAAAACCACTAATTGAGGCTAGCTAAGCCAAGCTCAACGTGAGTGAAGCTAAATGTACCGAGTAATCGTTGTGATTCTCGCAATAATAACATCAAAAGCCTCCTCTATCGCAACATGGAGTTTGAAGCTGTCCTAACGTCACGCCAGGGAAGAAACTTCTAGTTCGTTGGGGTTCCTCAGTGAAAAAGTAGAAACGACTATTTTCAGGAAGCTGCTCCAGATAGTGAATGGTGTACATTCGAAATCTCTAGTTCATAATCTTCAGTTCCAAGTAAGCCAAGTGGCATATCTTTCCAAAAGTATTACAATTATGGCAATGGCAGTCAACAGTGGTTTCGCCTTTGGTTCCACTCTTCCACTGAGGATTCAAAATCTTCTCCATCCTTGCGCGTGATTACACCAGTTGGATGAGGGGGGCACGCCCTCCGGGTAAAAGAATTCGCACTTGTTTATGGAAGGTTCCGAAGCATTTTGTGTGTTACGGCTAAAAACAAAGAATCTGAAAATCAAAGATAGTCGGGGCGTGTAACAATCTGTTGCGGTGACAAGGCTTCAGCTACTACATGTGCTATCCATGTCTTTTCGAGGCCAATCGCAGTGAATGATTTTGAATTTTTTCTACTCAGATGCAAGAATAAGAAGGCAGCTTTGACGGATTTTTGTCATTCTGTAAGACAGCAATTCTCACTACACACGACGGTGAGTTCAAGAGAAACACTCGGATCCAAAGTGATTGCAGTCAGCTTTGTCGTAATTTTGAGAATCCGGTCGGAAGGAGAATGAATATATTTCCCTATAAGATATNGATGCAAGAATAAGAAGGCAGCTTTGACGGATTTTTGTCATTCTGTAAGACAGCAATTCTCACTACACACGACGGTGAGTTCAACACTCGGGTCCAAAGTGATTGCAGTCAGCTTTGTCGTAATTTTGAGAATCCGGTCGGAAGGAGAATGAATATATTTCCCTATAAGATATGCTGTAAGACATGCTAACAAGAATACGATGAAATTAGTTTTTAAAGGAAATCTAGAATACGTTTTACGCGAAAAAGGATAAGACACAAAGCGAACTTATTCGAGCTCTTCACAAATTCCACTGATGGTATCAAACGGAACCTACATACATGTCCTGAGAAGAATAGTGACCTGCATCATTTCATATTCCAAAAATCCTTCGAGCTCAAGCTATCAATTTTTATAACCATTCCTACTCAAGGGGCACTTATAAAGTGGTTGGATACCTTTTTAAGCAGAAAATTTGCATGGGAGGATCAACTTTTGACTTTAATGAGATATTGTGAGTTCCACATTGAAACCTGAAAGTTGCTATTAAAGAAAATTATTGAGAAGTTCGGCAATTACAACTTGCTGAAATTCCCAAAAATTGCATAAGGATTCTACGGATATCGACTCCTTGCTCGCACCAGATGTGAAATTTCTTCCGAAGTCTGATTACAGCCGATAACATGAACTTCATCTCATATTAAGGTTCAATGAGATATCGTCCACAGCTACAATTTCAGTTCCTCTGCCAGGCTGCTCTGTTTGAGTTTGTGGTCACATCAAGGTACTCCTCGAGGCCAGTTTAGTTACCTCGAATAGCTCTTCATTGTAGGAACTCGTAAAGCAACAGTAAAAGTTGTGAGGATACAAGATTTCTAGTGATGGTGTTGTTCGACAAGATGCGTCACGTCGAACACCACATATAACGAAGTAAAACACGGTCCACTACTATGAAGCGAATACAAACAAATAATTTATTGTGCACGGATATTATCAAGTGATATCAATAATAGTTGGAAGACTGACGTCGGGGTGAGAGGCTGATCCTCTCTTCATACTTAATGTCTGGCAGCTCGAGCTACAAACACAGCCGATCGAGGTGGGCATGGGCAATAAGCAGCATCCCCTCCAGGAGGTGCAGTGGCTCCCGGATTCCCTGGCTTACCATCTGGTCCAGGCTGTCCTGGTGCTCCAGGCTGTCCAGCGGGTCCAGGAGGTCCATCGTTTCCAGGAGCTCCTGGCTGACCGACACCTCCTGCGTTCCCAGGAGCTCCAGCCGGTCCAGCAGGTCCAGGTGCTCCCGGGGTACTTGTCGAAGTTGTGCCGTCTTGTCCAGGCTGTCCAGGCTGGCCGTCGCTTCCAGGATTTCCAGGAGCTCCTGCGTCTCCGGGAGGCCCAGGAAGACCTGGCTGTCCATCCTGTCCAGGAGAACCAGCCTGTCCTGGATTTCCATCAGGTCCGGGATTTCCAGGGGCTCCATCTGGTCCAGGGGGTCCAGCCGGTCCCGGTGGGCATTCAACACATCCTGTGTCTTGGCCAGGGCAGGCGATAGGAGCATTTGTGACAGTGCTGTCATCTCCAGGCTGACCAGGTGCACCAGGTTGTCCTGAAATTTGTAAGACTATGTTCAAACTGAAAAGCTAAAGAAAATAGCTCAGACAAACCAGGTGCTCCAGGCGGGCCGGGAGGTCCAGGTGGTCCAGGTGGACAGTTTGCTGTTGGAGGCGAGCACTGGCAGTATGAGGGCAGTCCAGCTTGCCTCTTATTACGGAAGATGGCGCTGAAAGGGTTCTGACGAGGTTTGGTCGGAGGGGCAACTTTCACTTGGAAATCCATCATTTGAGTCCAAGCAGAGTCAGTTTCGACGCGGAACACAGAAACTCCTTCGAGGACTTCATCGTGCATCTCATTTATGGTATTGTAGAGAGATGGTATGACGACCAGGCACGCAGTGATGGCCAAAGTGGAGCAGACCGAAGCCAGACAAACGACAAGCTTTTCTTCGAACATTTTGTGTTGATAGTTCGACTTGGCAGAAGGCTTTTATAGATCGCTCATAGGATTGTTTTATTCGATTAAGGCCGCATCACACTAGAAACTGAACGCTGAACCGATTTGAACCCGTTGCAATGTATGCCATGGATGATCGCTATAGAAAGCGAAGCCAGTGAGGCCCCACTGGAAATGGACAGCGGAGCAATGGCAACAGTATGATTCCTCATTGAGGAGAATCACCGAAGATAGTAATTGTGTATCTCCTGCAACAAGTCATCTTACCTTTGTCCCTCGTCGTATTCCCTCAGTAAGTCATGAATCACATGCATCACCAGGGCTGAATCCCAGAATATGATTTCAATGCGGCCTTAACATTTTGAAGTTTTCTATGAGCATCTTTTCAGTGGAAGACTACTTGAAGGACAGGTACCTTTAGTTGCACCCCACATTTTTTTTATTCTGACCAGGGCAATCCCTGGGAGGACGACATCAGCTCAATTCGAGGGTTTAGGTTGAAAAGAGCAATTGGCATCGTAAGAAAGAAGCCAGGCCAGGCACGGCAGGTACGATTAATTTGATTAATCGTATCTTCCTACGTTAAAGGTGAATGATGAAAAAATGAATTGATTATAATCGAGCTCTAGTTTAAGCCAGCAGTAAGGCCAGCCACCCCTGATCCATACACCAGCTTCGTCCTTTACCACCTGAATGAGCATCTCAAATTTCTGATTCCGGATAATCCTTCCATTACATAAGGCGAGTGTGGCATGTCCATATCCAGCAAGCCTCTTATAGTTATGACTACAAAAGGAACTCATGTTATGATTAACATGTGCTATGTGTGTTACGCGATCTCCTCCTAATTTTAGAGCACAGTGTTAATAGTTCGACTTGGCAGAAGACTTTTATAGTACCTTCAATCGACTTAGAAACGGAATCCCGTCTCAATATTGTTTGCTGCTTGCTAGGTTATACACTCATGGCAGTGAGAATTCTGCAGAAATCTCTCCGTGGTCATTCATCCTCTTTATTGCTACCCCTTCGTTTCAGTTATAAACAAAAAAAANAAAAAAAATGGAATGCTTGCTGTCTTGTGAAGAGCGATATATTGAATTTTTATTCTTCCCTGTATTGTGTATGGACCTGCACTACAGTATGCGGAGGTGGGTGCCATTGTTGCCGCATATCGTGGCAACAGCGGCGCACTTTCGCTCTTGAAGGACGCATTGCGGACGAATTCCTGCTTTCAGCTAATGCATTTGCAGATGAAAGATAAGACAAGTGGCTTGGTTTCAGTTTTGCGATCTGTGACAACGCCAAAGTGAACCCACGAGGATTATAGTGATTGCGCAACAAGCGATTATCAAACTCTGCCCAGGAACGAACAAACCAGTCTTTTTCTATCACTTCGACCCCTGTCCAATCCAAATGCGAGGATCGCATGTTGCCACAAGCGCCATCTGAGCTTAAGCATAGATTTCGCCTGTGTAAAGCTAACGCAATATGTCTGCTATTGTTTGTGTATCATCTAATGGGCAAGGTTGGCATGGACAGTAGGCAGCGTCACTACCGTAGGCAAAAAGCAGTGCTTTTCGGGTTTCCTAATGCCCGTCCGGTTCATGCAACAGATTGCACAGCTAGTCCAGACTCTTCTCCATTACAGAAACAAGACGGACTACGAGTCCTATACTGTGCAGCACTTTAAGGTAGTCTTCTTCAGAGATGATGGCGTGAACCATCCAAAAGAGAGTTGGCTGGCTTGTCTTCCATACTTCCGGATGATTTAGTTAGATTGCTGAGATGTTCGGCAGCAGAAGCATCTCTGATTTGATCGATTATATGGTGGACGATGGTCGAAATGGGCAAACCTGAATCATGCCATTGAAAAACTTCCAGAGCATTACGTGTCGCTAATTCAATTGACACTATCCCATTTATAACGTTTCCGGATTTGCGCCATTTCGAAATGGCTGTGAACCTCATGAAGGGGCTGATGTGTGGATCGATTTCCAAGCTGTTGCAGTGACATGCCAACGTAAATAGTGCTGAAAGTATTTAATTTGGACCCGATCTCGCTCAAAGATGTGATGATTTTTGACAATAGGAAGTATCATATAAGACAGTACGATGAGTTAAATACAATGTTTAAGACGAACCTCTGAATAGAAGTTGACAATGAAGGCGCCTATATATAGGGTGCGCCATAAATATGGTAACAACTTTTCAGACGTCCGGAATTTTCTCGTTTGGAGGGTTTCTACAAATCTGCACCTTCCCTTATGTCCATGATATACCTTGGACTACATATCTACTTTGGTGCTCCCAATTCGTCAGATTTCGGAAAACGGTGGAACCTCGCCGACATCCACCGGCCTTCCCGTCTTCAAAATGTCCCGCACTGACAGTCTATTGAATCGCGATGTGGTGGCTGGTCTGCAACAAACCTCAAAACGGTCGTCTTGTCTCACATATTGCCCCTTTTCCGAATACCATTGCTTGGGAAGGAGTACGATGAAAAACCTGCCGAAATACGAGACCGATGAGAAGAGTCTTCCCCTAGTAAATACAATTGTATCGAGATAAGATTCGAAAGCCCCATAAGTATTTTGGCTAGAAGAAGTTGGATAGAGAAAAAATGCCGTGCACCCTACACACGCGCGGCACGCGCTTCGACAAATTTTTTCTTGACCAAAGGATGTTCAGTGTGGAAGAAATGTTGAGACCCCAACGTACACATATATTCCACATCTAGAGTGCTCAAGCCCCTGAGAAGAGTCAGATCGCCACTCATAACCATTTTTCCTCTTTCACGACGGTTTTCGCCAGAAACGCTATCATCAGAGCAATTTCACAAATTTTTGTCGAAAAAAGTACAAACTTTAATCCAAAACTCTTTAGGAAGGGTCTTTCTGAAAGGATGCGGCTGGGGGTCGAAGATTTCTTCATGGATACGACTTGAAAACTACGGCGCACCTGCTCACGAATGGAAAATGATAAGAGTGGTGCCGAGGGAATGTTCACGACTTTATCCCAGCTTCCAATCCCCCTACGAATTTCCCGGACCACGATGTGATCGGTTGCTGGATATAACCCATACTGGAGAGAAACGCGTGCGCTTCATAACGCACCACTGTTGCTGCTCATAAAAAACCATTGAAAAAATCCCAGGCTAGAGTAGGCTGGAGTTCCTCAAGGAACTCTGCGTGCCGCCGTTAACGAGTAGCCGCAGCATTTTTGGTCTACAATTACTACAGGAGATGATTATATAAAATGGCCATTTGTTCATTTTGTGGATGTGACGCATAGTAAATAACCCACATGAATTCACCATGTATCAATATGAACTGCGGCTTTTGTAGCCCAATTCTTTTGTTACCATATTTATGGCGCACCCTGTATTGTCCGTTCTTGCGAGGGCAACGAAATGAGGAGCCGTGAGTCCGAATATACTCCTCTCCTCTAGTATCTCGAGTATCAAATATTTGGCTTACAGGTATCCCGTAAAAAGATGGAGAGGTAGTGGCGTGCTCATGCTTTGTGAAGTTGGGACGGGAAAGCTTTAGTTGGCACTTAAAGTTATTCTCAACGAGTGATCCATCGGAACAAAAATCAAGATCACTGCTAAACCCACTTTTACGCTTAGTATTCACTTCTTTTGCATCGCACTGCAGGACATTTAAAAAAGGTTGTAAGCAGAAGAGAGATGCCGATAATACCAGATACATATTTCAAAGGCTTGTTGGTTTACCATGTTCGATGAAGGATTTTTTGCTGCCTTCCAAAGATCTTTTTGTCGCTTTTCCCAACAGATTTTTCTTTGTGGCAGTGGCAGAGCTCTTCTGTGCTCTGCCACTGTCACTGTCTCTCCTTACATTAGATTAGAGTAATTCATTATAAACTAGAGTAATTCATTATTAAAATGATTGTTTTTATACACTGTCGAGTAGCTTCCAGGTTGGTGGGTTCAAATTTTTTTTT